TTATTTTTAGAAAAAGTACTGCAGAATGTGGAAGGTACATCTTATTACAAGTATAATTATAATAGTGAAATTTTGAGTCCACACGGAGCTTCGCCTAACTCAATTATAATATTTGACGATGTAGCTTGTGAATATCAGAACAACATACGCAATTATTTCGCCATGGATCGATATAAGAAAATTGACTGTTTTTATATTAATCAAACGTATACTAAAATACTTAAGCAACTAGTTAGAGATAACTCTAACCTGATCATATTGTTAAAAGAAGATGACGTAAATCTGAGACACATTTATGACGAGCATGTAGGGTCTGACATGACATGGTCTCAGTTCCGGGAAATTTGTTCAACTGTGTGGAGTAAACTTTTCAATTATATTGTTTTAAATAAAGACTGTGAACAAAATAAAGGATGTTACAGAATGAAGTTTGATACATTCATAATTACCTAATTAACATACACAACATAATTACATAAATGTATAACATAATTTTAGACTAAACGTTTAATAAATAGCTGCTATGTCACAAAGCAATAAGTTTCTGCTGAGTAGTCAAACATATTGAAGAAACAAATTGTAAAATCTGCTGCAGCTGTAAAAAGAAAGGTAGAAATGATATAAGATGCAAAAAATACAAACAGTCTGGCTTTGGAAACAATATTTCAGCCTGTCGTTGATCAACTTAATATGCTTACCAGAAAAACTAAAGAAAAGCAGCATTTAAATGAAGATACAGACCAAGCTCACGTTATCCTGAAGATCCTGTTAATAATGAAGAAGTCTCAGATAACGATGTTTATACAACATCCCACAAAACCCTCACTCACTCGCTTTCTGCGGATGATAATGACGCGAATCAAATTTCGTTTAAATTACATCAATCAACACCAAGTATTGGAAATGATTCATTATCATGGACTATGTCACCTGAATTACTAAAAGATGTGCCTTATGGTGTCAGAAACGTGGGAAACTAATTCCCGGCACATTTCGTGTCTATGATGATGATCACATCTTAAAGATTTGAAATCATAGTTTGAAAAAAACTCCAGGCTTAAAAGAGTTATTGTTTAAAAAGCTACTAAATTTAGATATTGTGACAAAGGAAGACTTACTTACAAAATTATAAATGGTTACTTTTGGATACTAATGCACACAAACGTAGTTATGATGTATCCAAACCGATTACCAGTAACAAAGGATTAAAATATATGCAAGTGGTGAAACTATTATTTAAACACTCGAGAAATCATAAAAGTAGTGCAGAAATTCTTCCAACGGGAGAAGAAGTTGATAATTTAAAAGAAGTTAAAAAAAGATACTGATTTGGTTTAATGAAACGATCCAAACGAGTTAGTGGAACTATTAAAATTACTACTTGGATCATAGGCAGCTGGTAACACAGGGGTTTACAATGAGATTTATGCAATAATCGAAGAATTGCATGAATCTGGCATCACAAAAGACATTAAATATATTAAGCTGTCTACAGGAGGATTACGCAGTACCATTTCATTACAGAAGTCGATAAGACGGCTATGAATATAGACAAATTTGGTCACCATTTTCATAACCGTTTACGACTATATGTATGCTCTGATATTCTCAGTGACGCTTTAGTAAGAACAGCTGGTGATTTTGATTTGAAATCAACAAGATTGAAAGGACTGCAAACTCCTGAAAAATGGGATGAGGCTGTGAATAAAGAATATGTGGGTTAATGTGAAGAACTTATAAATGAAATGAAAACAATTCACAATAATGTCAAAAAGTACCTCAACAATTTAGAAAAATTGACAACTATCAATTTCAGGACAATGTATTACACTTAAAAGGAAATCGGAATCATGATTGCATCAAAACCTGCCCAAAATGAATAAACAAGATATAGTCAATGAGCTTCACAAAGCAGCAAGAAGAAATTTTTCTCGTCAATATACGATTATTAAAGGAATAGATGATTTATGGCAAACTGACCTGATTGATTTTCAAAAATATTCAAATATTGTATGTGGTAGAGCCATACTGCGGCTATATTTCGGGTATAGTTGTAGCACGAATGGGTCGGCTTGACCGGAGAAGGACAACGCTCTCACAGAATACCAGCGTAAAATAGCAGCTTAACACAGCTGTGTTTCGTATGGTGAGTGTAGAGAACCGGAGACCCCTTTTACTGGAAATGAGGCATTCCAACTTAGTCCTCACGGGTGACAACGCAGCTGCATTTTGATTCGCAAACAAGGATAGATGTAGATGTCTATGGGCCACAGATACCACTTACCATCAGGTGAACTGTGTGCTCGTTTGTCACCCTATCCTATAAAAAAAAATTCAACGTTTAATAAAGGATATAAATATGTTCTAGTAGTAATCGATGCTCTATCAAAATACGTATGGGTTAGACAATTAAAACGAAACATAAAAATTGTCTCAAAAATGCGATGCAAAGTTTATTATCTGAATCAAGACCAAATCCTAAAAATTTACAAACAGATCTTGGTACAGAGTTTTGTAATGATTTTTTTTAAGAATTTAATGAAAAATTTTAATATAAATCATTATTCCGCGTACTCCTTTAAGGCCTCCATTGTAGAACGAGTAATAAGAACTTTAAAAACTCACCTTTACAAAATATTTAGTTTATGCGGATGATATCAATGGTTAAATAATTATTTACATTTTGATGTAAAGCGGTATAACAATACTTTACATCGCATTACAAAATTCAAGCCTATCAACGTTAATGATTCAAATGCGATTTTAGTTATGTCAAACATCAAGAAGTCTCAAAAGCCTAAGATACGTCAAGGACCGGCGTTTCACGTTGGCGATTACGTTCGTATAAGCAAATACAAAGAAGATTTTTACAAATGTTATACCCCTAATTGGTCTACAGAAATATTTCGTATCGTTAAAGTCAACCAAACCAATCTTCAAACCTATTAAATAGAAGACAAACACAATCAAAAAATTCTAGGCTCTTTTTACGGTTACGAATCACAAAAAACTAAATTTGCAGACCTTTATCTTATTGAAAAGTCATTAAAAGAAAAGGAAATAAGCTTTTAGTAAAATGGTTAGGTTTGAGTGATGAAGAAAATAGTTGGGTGGATAAAAGTGAACTAGTGGTTTAGGTATATAAATAACGTATTATTACTTAATAATCCCATTTTATACTTATCGATGAAGGAAGGAAGGAATAAGTTTACCCCGTTGTATTCTTCTTCTAAAGTGTGGAGGACTTTTACCACTTATTCCCATATTTTCAGGATTGTCAGCTTTAGGACCATTAGCCGGTGGAGCAGCGGGTATAGCAAAAGCTGTTAATGATTCAAAAGCAGCACAAAAGAGTCTTCAGGAATCTGAAAGACACAACAGAATGATGGAAGCCGTTGCTCTAGGAAAAGGATTATATATTAAACCTCATAAACAAGGAGCAGGTTTATATCTTAACCCCTCAAAAAACTAATTAAACGGTTACCCAAACGGGCGGTCATTAATCTCGACATATTAGAACATGCAAGTGACATTCCATACTTTCACGGCGTTTTCATGAGAATTAAATTACCTTTGTAACCGAGAAAGATAGAATGTGGAATACTGAATTGGAACGCATTGGGTAGCCTTTGTAAAGCACAATGAATACGTAGAATATTATGATCGTTTTGGTAATTTAAAGCCCCCGTTAGAATTAGTTAAATATATGCATAACTTACCTATTAACTATAATTATGCGCGACATCAAGCGTTTGGTGCTACAAACTGTGGACATCTTTGTCTAAAATTTTTAAGGAATTACTGGAAAAAGCATTTATACAGTGTATGAAATAAGTAACATATCAGTATAAAAATGGCCTTTCACTGTGTCTATAACTTGGACAGGAGCCTCTTTATCAACGAACTATTCACCGACAATAGAACTACGAGGAGACTACGAATGTGGTTTTTTGTATTTTTCAACTTTCAGTTCTATTCCCAATATAGATGACAGAAACAATAAATTTTATTATGGTAAAAAAGAAATGATCGAATTTCCTGAAGGGTCTTACGAGATTCAAGATATTTTTGATTATCTAAAAAATAATATTAAGAACGATGTCCTAAAACTAACTTGTAACAATAATACATTGAAAACAAATATTTTTTGCTCCGAAGATGTGTACTTTAATAGAAGCGAATCACTGGGTAAAATTTTAGGCATTGGTATGGAAACAATAAAAGAAAATATAAGTACTGAATCAAAGTATCTTGTCAGTATTCTATCGACAACCATCGTGCGGATTGAATGCGATGTAGTTAGTGGTTCATTTGTCAACGGGAAAGCAAGCCATATAATTTATGAATTTGCACCTAATGTATCACCTGGTTATCGAATAATTGAAATACCTAGAAACTTGATTTACTTTCCTGTTAACCAAAGTTCCATAAGTGTCTAACAATATAAAGTTATTGAACGGTGCGAATAAAGAGATAAATTTACGAGATGAAGAAGTACAACTGTATTTACATTTCCGAAAAAAATATGATAAATTTCAATAAAAGCACGTCTAGTTCGTGTATCCAAGCCAGTTTTAAAAGAACATCTCATAAAGGCACACCTCTTCAGCTACAAAAGAAGCTTACCAAGTCTAACAAAGAATTTCTTAAGCTAGTTGGCTTGATAAAATGAATATTTTAAACGTATCTCAACAAACATCATACGATAACAGCATTGAAAGTTTTGAGTATCATTCATACAAACCATATGTAACTAGTTTTACAAGAATGATGAAATACGTATTCCTATTAATCAACAAGACCTGTACGTACTACCTTCACTCAGTAGTTTATATATCGAGGGAAAGGTGAACGTTTATAACAGCACCACAAAAGAAAAGGTATCAACAAAATCTTATATATCCTTAAATGAAAATTAATCCAAATGTGCTCGAGTTTGGGGCTGGTCAACTGGCGGAACAAGCAATACTAGTGGTAGGGCATTTTCCGCGTCTATACTATTGAACAAGATATTAGGATTTGCAGAAGATTATGAAAAAACTATAATTAATTGTAAACATGAGTTAGTATTATTACAAAACAATACAAATCTTAAAGCGATCAAGTTAAATACAGGTGAAGTTGTAGAAGATATTATAATAAATAAAATTGTTTGGCGAGTTCCACACATCAAAGTATCAGATCGTGAAAGAATCAACCTATTAAAATATTTAGAAAAAGATAGAGCTATTCCATTGGCATTCCGTTCCTGGGACTTATATGAATATCCATTGCTACCCAAAACGCGTAAACATACTTGGTCTATAAAAACTTCATCGCAAATAGAGAAACCACAATTTGTGGTCATCGGCATGCCAACCAACCGCAAACATAACGCGAAATTATCAATGGCAGAGTTTGATCATTGTGACGTACGAGATGTAAGAGTCTTTTTAAATTCATCATATTATCCTTATGAGGGCTGAATGTACCAGTTTTTCAGAAGATAAATTTACTTTATTATACGATCAGTATGCGAGATTTGAACAGTCGTATCATGGACGCCGGTCAGAGCCGTTGATGGGTTTAAAGGAGTTCAGAGACGTGGCTCCATTATTTGTAATTGATTGTTCAAGACAACACGAAACTTTAAAAGGTTCGATCGATGTGAGAGTTGAAATCGAAACAGACCAAGAAATACCAGCTCAACAGTGGTAGAGCCACGCGGCAGCTTTTGCTGTCGCACGGATGGGCCGGCTCGAACCGGGGTGGTACCACGACCTCACAGATTACCAGCGTGAAGTAGAGGTTTACCCCTGCGTTTCGCTTGGTGAGTGCAGGTGGCCGGAGGCCCTTTTTACTGGAAATGAGGCATTCCATCTTAGTCCTCACGGGTGACAACGCATCTACATTTTGATTTGTAACAGAGGATAGATGTAGATGTCTATGGGCCGCAGCAACCACTTACCATCAGGTGGACTGTGTGCTCGTTTGCAACCCTTATCCTATAAAAAAAAAAGATCAGACAACCGCTTATTGCTTGATATTAAACAACTGTATATTCGAATACAAACCACTGAGTAATATCGTTAAGAAAATATCATGAATATCAATACAATAATTGTCGATCTTTAAGGCTTCAAAAATAGCAAAAATAAATTTATAGTAAAGGAGTTTGCTATAGCCACTCTAGAGTACACCAATATATTCCTAATTAAACCTCCTTACACATTCACTTCACTGTCTCCTGAAGAGAAAAAACAAATTGGCTCGATTGAAAAGCACAGAGGGTATCGATGGAGATTTGAAAGATAAAAAGATTTTTTTTAAAGGATGTGAAAAAATTAAATGGGTGCAAGATATTTGTGATGAAAATAATACTATCATAGATATAAGTTGCTTAGGAGCTCCCAATTTAAATACTCTTTGTGAACTTTATTGTAAAGATACTTTACTTTATAACTGTTTTACTCGTAAGAAAATATGTGCGTTAAAAAATGTTTTATGTATTAAGAAATGGTGTTTTGAAAACAAAATGATTGTTTGATTTCTAGTAAAATATATGTAAATAAACACTTCATCTGTTAATTTAAACTACCTTTGTGTTCGAGAAGAAGAAAAAAAAATAGTTTCAGACCGTTAACGATTAGTACTTATTATTAAAGTAACTGTTTTTTGTACCACCTTGCATTTTAACGATGAAATAGATTAGCCTTCATATTTTATTGTTATATTATTGAACCATTTGTAATTGTGATTCCGAATGAAACGGTATTAGAAATGGAGCAAAGATAAAAAAGTGGATCGAGAATTAGACTAAAAATTTAGACCTCTAATGGAGAGAATTGGGGCCTTCATCGGCATGTAGCTCGAGCGAAGCGAGAGCAAGTGACGCAGAAGCCCCAATTCTCACCTACTAGTATTTCGTGCCGGCACATCGCTTGCAACTTTACAAAGCGCAAATCCGGCCTCACATGGAATACTGTTATATGCATATAGGATAGGGTGACAAACGAGCACACAGTCCACCTGATGGTAAGTGGTAACTGTGACCCATAGACATCTACATTTATCCTCAATAAAGAATCAAAATGCAGATGCGTTGTCATCCGTGAGGACTAACACTTACCATACGAAACACAGCAGTGTTAAGCTGCTATTTTACGCTTGTATTCTGTGAGAGCGTGGTCTTTCCCCGGTCGAGCCGACCCATTCATGCCACAACTATACTACTAGTATAGCTGCAGCATGGCTCTACCACGTAAAAAATCTCTATTCCAAGTCCTGTTTATTACTGGCCACGGTATCCACTAATGGAATACATATATTACATTAGTGGATTCCGTGAGCCACTACACCTCCCACAGCATTTTGAAAAAAAAATATTAATTACACTTTTTTTACAATATCTTTACAGAAAGCAATCCAATACAGATGGAGCTTCACTTTTCTTATTTAAATTGTAGATCCAAAAGTCATTCAAAAAGTGAAGTGGTTTACATATTTTATAAACAAAATTTTAACTTATTATGGAACATTATAAGCTACTTAAAAAAATAGAATAAAATAATCTACGACCTTAAAAATTAAATAGTAACCTATTAATAAAATTTATAAAATAAAAGTAACTAAAATATGTAATAAAATAGTGCTGTGAAAAAAATAAAATGTATTTTTTCCGATTTTAAGTTGATGCCCATTTAGATCGATCTTCGGAAACAAGATGATTATTTTTTTAATATTACTCTAAACTAGCGCTCAATAACAATCCCACCTGACGGTATGTGGTGATATAGCCTATGATGGTGAAGCGCACTGACTTAACAAAAGCCTATTCACTTTATTCAATATAGATTATAAATAATACTTATTGAAAATCACTCTTTTGTTTAATTACCACTGGATAAAAAAAAACCTCTGTCCTGGGAAGAACCAGCAACAAACCCAGTGGGACTTTTTTTTAAATAGCTTACAGTCATGTATGTTACACAGTAAACCACAAAAAACAAATTAGAAATAGCTTGGTAGCAATCACCTCATTCCCAGGGGTTATTATCATCCATAAATTCCTTAAAATTATTATAACTTTTTTATGCAAACTTTGTTTAATAAAGTTTTTGAACTTTGAACAGGTCAAATTTTGTACATTTTCTGGTATTTTGTTGTAAAAGTGTATACATCACCCCAAGAATTAATTATTGACTAAGTGGAGTCGAGTAGCTGGCACTACTAACTTGTATCTGTTCCTAGTATTTACAGAATGAATATCACTTATTTTTGTATTACTATATTACATTTTCATAAATGTATTGAGAGGGCAAAGTTAATATATTTATTTCTTTAAATTTTTATGGGAGTGACTCTTTAGGTTTTGAATCATAGATTGCTCATATTGCCCTCTTCTGTAAAACAAATATAATTTCAGTATCAGTAGGGTGTTACCATACGACATTATTCTATGCAAATAGCTAAATTAAAACGTAAAGTAAACAAGTCTAGCTGTTTCAACACTGGTCATATTTCTAATCTTTTTTACAGAAAATGATGCAGAACTAGGTCTGCTTGCTAATTTTGATATATGGGGACTCCAAAGAAGCTTCACGAAGCTACGCTACAACTGCTACGATTGCTCTCACACAACATCCTCTGTTGTGAACGCAGAGCTAGAAATATAATGAAAACACGTGGTTGCTCAGTAACCAATCACAGCGCGAGGAGCTTGAGCCCCCATCAGCCTCTGGTATATCTCGATAAGCTATATCTCTTGTACTTATGGCTGCGCATAAGACTTTTTGTAGTATTCATTTGTTAAGTTTATTCTCGTCTAGGAATTGTTTATCACCGCCAAATTTGTCTTGCGATTTGCACGTATTATTAAAATTACTCAATAAATACGTGACTAAAATATGAGATTGCCAAAATTATATTTTTTGAGAGGTCTGCTAACACTTTATAACCGACAAAAACTTCTGGGGTTATTTTTTTTGAATTATATAAAAACTTAATCAAAAGACAAAAAAATCAAGTTGCCAAAAACATTTTTTGGATATTTTTTTTTTTGCAAATACTGCGCATTAACAAAATAACCGCAAAAGCTTTGCCAGACTCACGGGACTGGATTCCCCAAATGACTAAATTATATTTTTTCACAATTTCAACTTGCCAAAAGGACCTTCCCAAAATTCTTCGCTAGCTCTCCGACTATAATAACTGTAATCATCAATTGAATTTGTATGTATTTTACTCATTTCTGTCAATTCATTTTGTTCATTTTATAGACGGAACGCTATTAATAGAAAGCAAGTGATATCTATGACTGTATGGTTCCAAAATAATGACATAATGAATGAAAAAAAGTAATTTTATATTTTTATTACATAAAAGATAACTTATTTCTTAGATAAATTATTTTCTTAAAAGATAAATTGAAAGAAAATTGTAGAACTTTTATTGTTAACTTTATAAATGTAAATAAATATATAAATAAATATCACTATTACCTTGAAATAATTTGGAGATGAAAAGTTAGCACTATATGTAAAATTCATAGATTAAAAAGTTCTTTAAAGGTTTTATGCATGTGCATATTAAAAGACTGGTAAAATCTTTAAATATGCACATGCCAGTGCATTAACTGTATTTATAGTCGTAAGATGTAGTGACGACCTGGTAAGACATGCAGGAAGTCGATGGATGCAGGTGGCTCAGGACCGTGTTTTGTGGCATTCTTTGGGGGAGGCCTATGTTCAGCAGTGGACTTGTGAAGGGCTGTAATGATGATGATGATGATGATAGTCGTAATTTGGGCTTCCTTATCCCCCTCACTTCTTTACGGCGATATCTTTTTATTGGGATCGGTGCAGAATACGATGATGCCCCATATGTCATCCATCTACACCACAATTTTCGCCCTACACTCCAACCTCATATGGTAGGGTGTTAGACATTGATAACATATATTCGCTTTCTTTATCATAATATACAGGGTATTTTTGGAACGCTCCCGAAAACTAAGATAGGCGACAACACCAAGTATACCTTTGATCATGGGTCACAAATAAATTCGATCCTGATGAAAAAAAAATCATCTTTTTACAACGTTTTATTAGCTTTATTCACGCGCCATCATGTTAATACAGCTAAATGAAACGATAATTTATAAAAAATATCATGAAAATACTGAAACATAAAACCAGCAGTGGAATGACTGAATTGATATCACCTGACTAAAGGTCAATGTACCTACGCGCGAACGCACATTCGCGCGGCCCGCAACTAGCGGGCCATACCACAATACCTAATAATTTACAACACTTGTCTAAATACCTAACTTATCTACTTAACCTACTATTTTGCCACTGTGCTTGTCTCCACGTAGCCACTTTAATCCGAATTTACAGGTTAAATAACCCAAATAACTGGTTCGATTCCCCGCTAATGAAAAAATACTTAAATGAAATGTAACCAAGGTTAGAGTCATGCGTTTTTATTCGTCGTATAGGTATGTTTATTATTCTCATGTATTCAGTTATGTACCTATTCAGATAAGTCTAGTACTAAGTTATTTAAAAAAATAGTTATGAAACAGCTTACCGCTCTAAATCCTCCGTGGTCTTATGAGATGCGGCTCAAATTGTGCTCCATTCATTTCAAGGTAGATTTGGGTGCAGGCGGCATCATCGTGTGGCCTTCGACACAGTCCGTACGTAGTTTCTCGAAAGCATCCACGTTCCTTTGGCGCATTTCGTCAGCACTATCACACTCACGATTAAAAACCCTTTCTTTCACATACCCCACAAAAAGAAGTCTAACGGGGTCAGATCTGGTGAGCGAGGTGGCCAAGCGTGTTGTCCTAGTCTGCCGATCCAGCGATCATCAAATAGCTCATTGAGGCGCTCACAGACGAACCTCACGAAATGTGGAGGGGCACCATCATGCTGGAACCATGTGCAGCGATATTCAGCCAACGATAGGTCGTTTAGAATGTCAACCAACTGTTCATTTATAAAGTTTAGGTATCGCTGTCCGTTCAGTCGCTCTTGCAGAAACACTGGTCCGAGTATGCGATCCTTAAATAAACCTGCCCATACGTTAACCGACCATCGG